TGGTATCCAAAGAAGCCCAGGGCTTAGTCTGCAGTGGGGTGGGGGGACATAATGTCAGGATCAGCTTCGATTTGGAAAATGAAGAGGCTTATTATTCTGAATTGATTCAACTGAAAGAGTTGCAAGCAGAAAAAGCAGTGTTGCATAGCAACCAAAAGAGGTAGTTATCAATGGCCTCAGAAGAGGCGGAGCCAACAACTCTTCCCCTCCCCCAGTGGAATTGCCTGCTGGGAGGAAAGGAGGGCTGAACAAAGTACTAAGTCCTGTCCAATCAAAGAAACAAATGCAGGTCATGCCACCATTATATAAGGGGAGCCATGTACCTCACAGATCTGTTGGTGACAGCTGTCCATTTATCTCATGTTCCTCAACTCTTCAGCTGCCGCCTTGTTCAAACTGTTGGCCATTAGAATTCTGTTTGAAAACCTTTTAAATAAAAATACAAAACTTTCCCGTCTCTCTAATTTCTGTGGGTCAGAACAGGACAGCTTCTTCTAAAGACCATCTGAAAGCTATACAGTTGGTCCAAAATGAATGGGTATGGATGGTTATGGACACACCTTGGCTTATCCATCTAACAGCACTACTTTGTGAGCTTCAATGCCTCTCTAATAGCAATAGCACTTAGACTTACATACCGCTTCACAGTGCTTTACAGCCCACTCTAAGCAGTTTACAGCGTCAGCATATTGCCCCCAACAATTTGGGTCCTCATTTTACCCACCTCGGAAGGATGGAAGGATGAGTCAACCTTGAGCCTGGTGGGATTTGAACTGCCAAATTGTAGGCAGCTGGCTGCAGAAGTAGCTTGCAATACTGCACTCTTAACTATTGCGCCACAGAGTTTCCTTATTAATAGCTTCCAGGTGCAGTTTACAGCACTGTTTATATTTAAAAAGTCCTATTGGGCAAAGGATTTAGTTATTTTTGTTACAATCTATTCCTAAAGACATCTCTTGTCTCTCATTTTAATAGAGTGGATATGCTTTGAGTCTCTTCACTGAAACAGTGCCACATGATAGGAACCGAAGAGCTGCCTTTTCAGTAATGTTGTCTGCTCCTTGGGACATTTTTCCCATTTTTCAGTTCCCCTGTTAAAAATATGACTACCCAGTATGAGTATTGGGGCCTGAGTAAGTTCCCATCAGGAAATTTATTTATTAAATTTATTTGCCACCCATCTCGTAAGAAAATGACTCAGAAATAGTATGAATGTGAATCAGGTTGCCTGTCATTTATTTTATTTATTGTTTGGGTGAGTTGTACGCCATTTTGTGTCATATTGTTCAAGTTTAGCTAGCAGCCATATAAATTCTGTAAGTAAATAAATACTGAGTTCTTATCGTTTTTACATTGTCTAAAGCTATTTGCTAGGATAAATTACAAAGGTATTCATTTGAATATTAGCAGTAGATAATATGCAGTCTATCACTGATTTAATAAAATCTAGTTACAACATTTTCTACATTTATGTTTTCACGTTGCTCAAACTGAACTTCTGAAATCTAGACTCTTAATATTTATATATATTCAGTATAAAGATTTATATGTATGTGTGTGTTGGTTTATTGCACCTTGAGACATTTAATAGTGACTGGTTGTGAACAGATGTTTCGACAAGCAGAGAGATATTCCTTTTAGCCTTGTTACAAAGAACCAAAATATTTTAGACAATTTGTGAGCAAATAAACATATTTCACATCCAGGTTTATTTGTTATTGTTTCTCTTTAATTATGCTTGCCAAAGAGAATGTCATTCGGTGCTGCTTGGTCACCACAAGGAGATTGCTTTTTAAATTTCTTATGTTGATCCCTAGGTTAATAGTATTTTTCGGAGTAGATAGATTTGGTTAAGACAAATTAAATGCCGTCTATTAACTGTGAAAATGTTAAAGTCTTATTCAGAAATAAATAAAGGTTTAGCACCATGCTGTTATAGATTGCAAAAGCTTGAAGAGTTCAAGTTGAAGGGTCCTTGATGCTCTCTGAACTCGCTCATTTCATTACCCAAACTAGGTAACATTACCGGTGCTTTGAGTTGGAACTCATACTCAGGGTCACTAATAAAATAATTGTTTAAATATAGATGTCTTTACCCTGTGCTCCTTCCCTTTAATATTTAATAGTTTTTAGTCTTCTGGAAGTATAGTAAAACAGAGATTTCCAGAACTCCATTTAAAGGACTTTAGAAACAATAAACATAATTTCATTTTGATCTTAGACAATGGAGAAAGTATGTTTAGAGATAAAATGAAAAATAAAATTACCATTGTTAATAAAGCAGTTTAAGACATTGACATGATTTTATTTCAGCATTGTGTAATTATATTAATGAAAATGTTATAATAAAAGTTTTTAAAAGCTCTGCACCCAGCACCGCAGAATAGTGTTTATGAACTGATGATCTACTACATTCAAATTATTCAACATTGGGAATGTAATTTATAATTGCCCAAGTATAACTACTCCCCTTTCCCCTTGCAGTCTGGTAACTCATATGGTACAGGTAATTGATTTTTTACTCTTGGAAGACCTGAAGAGCCAGATTGGAGACAGATCATCTTGGAAGAAGTCTGTGTTCACTAAGGAGCATGTAATCAATCAAATCCACATGTTTCTTTGAAGGGTGGCTTATTAGCATTCACTCAGAGCTGAGTCCCCCAAAGCCAATATTTCAAACTGTGGTGAATGTTTATAGCCAAGTTATAAATTGCTGGAAAAATAATGCCTTTGTATAAGTAACTGTGACAGTACTTTTAACTACTGATCCATGAACACAACATCACTGTATTCCAGATTATTGTAGTAGCAGTGGGACTCTAGGTCATAAGAATCAATTGTTTCAATTATTTAGTCTTTCAACCCCACTTTTGAATCAAACTTTTACTTATTTATATGGCATTTAAAAAATAATATTTTTCTGTCAATACATCCATTAATTACCTAATTAACAAATGAATTCTCTGCTATGAATATAAATAACCTATTATGTATGTTAATGTCTTGTATTTACAATGGGAAGATGAAGGTTTAAGACAATGTGTTGATCTTTGAACTGTGTAGAAGTGGATCAATATTTGAAGATTTTTTTTAAAAAAAACCAAGTAAACATCCAATTACATTGCAGCAAATATTTAAATATTTCATATCAAATATTTCTTGCTGTCCAGTGTCATTTCTGTTTCTCTCCCCCCCTTTTTATTTCTAGATTTTTCTTTTTGAAATCCATTCTCCATCCATATTCCTAATATTCCAGAACTTCTTTGCCCTTTCCCTAGTCACTATACCAAGTGTTAAAATGTTTATATGCTTTTATAGCATGAGTAATAAGGGGAATCTAGCAATATAAGCAAATGTATATTTTCTGAGCATTACGCTTTAGTATAGTTAAGGTGTTGGACTTCAGTCAAGGAGACCCAGGTTCAAATCCACTTTTAGCCATGGAAAATTACCAGGTAACTTTGGGCCAGTCACTCTCTTTCCACTAATCCATCTCACAAGATTGTTGTGGAGATGAAATGAATTGCAAACCCCATGAAAGCCCTCTTGAGCTTTTGAAAAACAGGATGTAGACTGTGAAGTAAATACAATTCCTGTTATAATGGTAACTTCTTATAAATTCCCACTTGACATACTTTCTGCCTTTTCTTTCCTCAACTAAGTTACTTAGAGTGCAGATTTATCTTTGTATTGTGTTCCAAAGTAAATACAAATGAGTTCATTAGTTCTTACTTCCAGAAAGTGAAAAACTGCCTCAGTATCTGGAAACCTTTATACATAATACATATTGTAAACAGTAATTAGCAGAAAGCACAAAAGCATGCTTTTATGTTCAACATAATTCTAACATCATAACTTTAGATTTCTGCAAGTTCTTCAGAGTTTTCTGTGACTATTGGATTTGATGGAACTTGGATCCTGAGGCAAAGTAAGCTAAGTTGAATTTTTTTAAAATTCTGCTCCAAGCTGGAGTAGAAAAGTCTGAATTCAGTCAGTGACTTAACAAAGTTTCATTCTGATTTGTTTTCAAGAAGACCTGTAAAAAATGCTAAAGGTGAAAAAAGTGGGAGGTTCATTACTTCATGCACTTAAATAAATATTAAGATAGGGAAAATGTGGGAGAATCATAATTGAGATGCTTCCTCTGCTTGAGAATATTTTTAAACTTCTCAGACTTTTAAATGTTTAAATTTAAGAAGATTTTTAAACCGTCTTACAGGCCCTGTGTACATAGATGACAATGACAAATAATTCCATTTTCTAGAAGCTCTATATGAATTATTCATTTAAAATGTGTGTGAAATTACCATTCATTTCAAGAATAAAATACTGCATGAATAAATATCTGTGGACAGAGGCAAGGACAAGACTTTTTCTTGGTTTCAGTCATTCATTTTAAATATTTGATAACTATGTTAAAACACTTTTTAGAGGAAAGATAGTATTTAAATAAATAGAGCTTAAGAATATAGTAATAAATGTAGGAGATTGGCCTTTGATTTGGATATCCTCAGTGTTTATCTACAAAGAATTTTGAATTTAAAATGAATAGCCAATGTTCAGTTTGTTGAATTCCAATCGGATCAGCAAAAATAAACATTGGTATTTAATAATTTGTGGGGTAATTTTACCATTGTGGATTTTTTATGAGATAGGGTTTTGGGGATGTTATAAATTGTATCAATTAATCAGCTGCACAGTCCTTAGCAACTAGTATCAAAATATTTCAGCTGAATTGTATGTGGTTTTGTGGATTATTATGCATGTATCAGACATCTTAAAGGAGAACATGAAAGAAAAATATTAACTGTTTATTTCTCCTTGGTATCGAAATTCTCCTCTAAAATATGCTTCCGGATTTCCCTATAAGCAATGAATGTTAATAATCAGACATGAGATTTTTGAGATGTGTACTATATGGATGGATGTTTAGCATGAGATTTATGGAAACAAACCGGTTTGCAGTTACCACCAATTAACATTTCACTTCCGATTTGCAGGAATTGGGTAGCCTTGGTGCATTAGGTACAACTTCTGCGCTATGGGAAAAAGAAACAAGAGGACAGCAGATAGTTCGTCCTCTGAAGAAGAGGAGGAATATGTTGTGGAGAAGGTTCTAGACAGGCGTGTTGTGAAGGGTCAAGTGGAGTATCTTCTCAAGTGGAAAGGATTCTCTGAGTAAGTCCAACTTTCCTTCTGACATGGGCTTTGATCTTTCTTGGTAGCAGAGCTCCAGGCAGTGTTTCAAATTAAGAATCCATTGCCATTATTCAAGCTTTCCCTTAAAGGAGGAAGGTAAACCCCACAGGTGGGAGCTTGCTTTGCTCACTCCAAATAAGAGTGGCGTGCATCCATTTAAACAAGTGGGTCATGAGGCAAAGCCTGGGATCTTAAAATGTGTTTTTAAAATACTGGCATCCGCGTTCCCTCTCTCACTTCACAGAGTTGGTAGTTCCACTTGAGTTATTCACCAGCACTATTGCTTAAAGAGCTTCATGGAGAAAAAAAACGTTAATTCCCTCCACTCCACACTATAATATAGTAATTCTGCAATAATTAATTCTGTGATCTTAGCTTCCCCATTGTGGACTGGACCTTTACCCCACTTGGCTAATAAAAGCAGTCAAGCAGGGGACTAGAAGTAGGATCCAGACTGTAATCAATAATTCTTTTGAGAGAAGGGGAAATCCTAGAAGCTCCTAAAGAATTTCCTTAAGAGACTAGATACAACAAAATTAGACATCCTCTTCCTTTTTTGATTTAATGGTGGTGCTGCAGTTGCAGAAGGCTCTGGAGGGTGGATTATCTTAGCCCTTGACAGATCAGACCTGGGCAAGGGATGGAAGCATGTTGGTCACTCTTCTAGCTGTCCTAAAGTGAGGCTTAGATGTGACCATCTTTGTTCTTCTGAATCTCTTAGTAACCTTTGATACCGTCGATCACAGTCCTTCTGGATTGCCTGCAAGAGGTGAGAGTTGGAGGCATGATGCTCTAATGGTTCCACTCCTACCTGAGGTGTCCAGATGTTGACTGTGGAGGGAAACAGGTCAGACTCCTGGACAATTCTGTATGGGGTCCCTAGTTGAGTCCTTTGCCTTATGCTTTTCAACATCTATATGAAACCACTGGGAGAAGTTATCTGTTTGTTTGGAACAAAGTATCATCTATAAGTAATTAACTTCTCTACCCTAGGCCTACTAGGAGAAAGAAAGAAGTCCTGACCTGATTGATGTCTGGAGGCAGTCACAGTCTGAGTGGGGGAAAAGCAGGCTCAAACTCAACCCAAGCAAGACAGAGTAGTTATTGCTTCAGATAATGTCTTATTCCAGGACTGCACCATCTTTGTGCTAAATGCACTTTTGGGCAAAGCACACGATTGCAATCAGTTTGTGTTTGTGAATGGCTACTGGTCAAAGACTGGGTGGAGACCATGGCCAGAAGGGCTTTTGCATAGCTTCAACTGGTTCACCAGTGCAGCCTCCTTGAAACACAGTGCACTGAAGATGACTTCACACCCTTCTCCAGATAAGATTACTGTAACCTGCTGTACTTGGGGCTGCCCTTGAGGACTGTGTGGAAGCTTCACACAATATGCATGCTCAGCCAAGAATCACAAAACTGCCTCTGTGGCAGGAGCTGCACTAGTTATCAGTAAGTTTCCAAGTGCAAATCGAAACACTGATAATTACCTACACAGCCCTATAATGGCTCAAAACCTGAGCATCTTTTAGGCAATTCCTTTTCCCAATTGTTCTGTCTTCCTACCCAAATAACAAAAGAGTGCTTATTAAGAGTATCAGGAGGCAGGAGGCGGGGCTAGTGATGGATGTGCTCTGTAGCAGCTCCCTCCTTTAGCATACCTTGCCCCCAAGGCAAAGATCCTCAGGACCTTTCAGAAGCAGGTAGAGGCATGGTTCTTTTAGAAGACCTTAGGGATTAATTTTTACCACGGCCATTTTTACCATCATATTCAATAAATTTAACATTGTTTTTTAACATCAAATCAAATTGAGATTTAATTGAATTACCATTTTAATTAACACTCTCTATTGCATTATAGGGAAATTTTGTAAGCTCCTTGAACGCTATAAAATAAATCATTCGAGCACAGAATTTTGGTATTGGGTATTAAATAGCATCCTGGGTGTTTCATTTTTACTTTTTTAAAGGACCATTCTAGCTGCTATAGTGATTAAAAGTAAGTTGCAACTGCAAGATAATGCCTGGAAATCTGTGAAGCCAAGATGGGCCAAGTAGAATTTCCAGGATTATATAATGGAACTTAACTGAATAGATAACTGCCCAGTTGAATGTATCAGAGCAAGATAGGCAGAAGAGTGGGAGTGTTTTAAGCACCCAGGATGAACATTCTTTCTCAGCTTACAAGATGATTGCTCCGAAAGATTTTTGTGAATGTGTGTATTCATACGTATTTGTATCCTGGTTTATTAACTTGGGTTATGCCAGATAGCTTTACAGTTCCAAAAGATCAAACTAGGTTATCTGTAGAATCATTATCTACAAGATTCAGATTTGAGGATGAGATATTTAAATGGATGCACACTACTTGATTGTAGGAAGGCAAACCAATTAAGCCAATATGGAAGAGTTGATCTATTGTGCAGCAACTGAAATAGCAAGTTCTGATATCACAGCAAAAAAGAAGAAACCTATATTTGGTGGGGGTTTGCAATATTTCAGTTAATCAGACATCCTGAAGTCTTACTCTGTCTTACTCTGTCACCGAGGTAAAATAGCTGTTGATTATTAATCTCCCAGACTTGCTGGGAGTTGGGTGGCATCTAAGTTTAATTATTTTTATTATTCCCAAGATGCTTTGAGATATATATGGTATTTTGCTGTGATCTTATTTAGCATATGTGATCTATATATTGGATACAAATTAGCTTAATTAACCTGTGGGATGTTTTTTCCTTCACCCCATCATGTCTCTTCCTTGAGTGGATTTCTTTAATTTCTTCTTCTAACCTGTTTCTCTGAGCCTCAAACATTAGTTTGCTGCCATGAGCTTTTAATTATCTTTAATAAAGGGTTATTATAATATTATTTATTAGCATTTATTTATCATCTTACTTACTATCTTAAGAAACCAGGTGTGTAAGATAAGGGTATCTTCTGACAAATATTTTGCATTTTAAATGTCATGCTGGTCTGGTATTACAGGAAATAACCTAATATTTGAGGAAATGCCTTTACCTGGATATGTTCCATTTGTGAAAGTGATTCTTAGAATATACATTTCTATAATAAGATGTATATCTAATGTTTTGTACGGGTAATCCTCTACTTACTACCACAGTTGAGCCCAGAATTTATGTTGCTAAGTGAGTTTTGTTCCATTTTACGATGTTTCTTGCCACATTTGTTAAGTAAATCACTGCAGTTGTTAAATTAGTAACACGGTTATAACTACACAGTTGTTAAGTGAATCTAGCTTCCCCATTGACTTTGCTGGTCAGAAGGTCACAAAAGGGGATTACATAACCCTGAGCACTGCAGCCATCATAAATGTGAGTCACTTGTGAAGCATTCAAATGTAAATCATGTGATCATGAGCTTGCTGCAATAGTCATGTGAAAAACAGTCACAAGTCACTTTTTTCAGTTCTGTTGTAACTTTGAACTGTTGCAAGTCGAGGACTACCTGTATATCAAGGTATCAAAACATTTGTAAATAACAGCCCTATGCAGGAATGAGATGGTAGATAAATATAACAAATTTCTTAAATGCCTGAATACACAGTTTTGAACCAAGGGCAAACTCTGCAATAATCAATCATTCATTCATATATATATGAATATATATATATATATATATACACACACACACATATACATATA